TTTTGAAGGCATAGAGCCATTTATTATATATGACACCCATATGCTTCTTTCCTAGAAGATGCAACACAGAGCATTGTCAAGGGCTCCCGCTTTCTCAAGGGAGGCCTCATCAAGCTATGTTCTCCTAGGCTTTTCCTAAGAAAAGGAACAACCCACTGAGCATGCATTCATATGTCAGACACATTACCACATTATTTATCATCATTCTTATTAAAAAGGTATAAGGAGGGTCCTGTCGTCATGCTTATTTTACATACTAGAGGCCCTGTGCACAGGGGAGGAAGTATGTTTATCAGCCCAGTCTGTACCTCTCCAATCTGGGACATCCCTCTCACAATTCAGGACTGCTGACTCCCAACCGCTTCTTCCTGCCAGCCTGATCACCCCCTAACCATTCTCCTGCCAACCTGATCAATGCCTAACTACTCCCCTGTCAGCTCAATTGTCCCTAACTGCCTAATCCCACAGGCCTGGTCACCTCTTACTGCCCTACCCTGCAGGCCTGATTAACCCAATTGCCATATTTTGCAGGCTTGGTCCCTCCCAACTGTGCTCCCCTGCAGGGCTGGGACCTCTCCCCAGCCCTCACTGTCCTCCCTGGCAGGCCTGTTTCCCCCCAGCTGTCCTCCCCTACAGGTCTGATCACCCCCAACTGCCCTCTTCTGCTGGCCCAGTCATCCCTAACTGCTATCCTCTGCTGGCTGATCACCCACAACTGCCCTCTCCTGCAGACCATCTTGTGGTGGCCATCTTGTGTCCACATCATGGGGTCAGCCATCTTTGACAACATGGGGGTGGCCATCTTGTGTGTTGAGTGATGGTCAATTTGCATATTACTCTTTTATTAGATAGGATGAGAAAACTGAGGCACAGAACATCATATAAGTCTGCCCACATCCTTAATTCACAAATTATATGGCTACAACCTAAACTTAGGTTATCAGATGGCTATACCTCCCCCTCCTCAGTGGAAACAACTTTAGCAAGCAATTGATCAAAGATATATTGCAATTAACTTACAAACTTATGTAAGAGAAGATGGCTCTGTTTGGCCCTCATTTCATTCAAATCTGAAAATAGCCATTCAGAACAAAGCACAAATGAAATAAGCTGAACTTTGTTAAAATTAACCTGTTAACCGGGGATTTCCCTTTTTAATTACGCAACGTACAACTGGCGCATATGTACTCTTTCACTAGGATGTGTCAGTATGTCACACCCAGCGGACGTAATTTTATATTATTTTATTTATTTATACTTAATTAAAATAAATGAAATATATATATATATTTTTTCGTTTGTTTATATATAAAATACAAAATTACAAACAAATAGAAAAGAATACCAACAAAAAATGGAAACATAGAATTAAAAAATTATAAATTTTACAAACAATTATAAAGATTACAGCCGAAGCCGGTTTGGCTCAGCGGTAGAGCGTCAGTCTGCGAACTGAAAGGTCTCAGGTTCGATTCCGGCCAAGGGCATATATATTGGTTGCGGGCACATCCCAGGTAGGGGGTGTGCAAGAGGCAGCTGGTCGATGTTTCTCTCTCATCGATGTTTCTAGCTCTCTATCTCTCTCCCTTCCTCTCTGTAAGAAAATCAATAAAATATATTTTTTTAAAAAGATTACAAAAAATATATACCGTCCCTCTCAGGGCGCAACATATATTTCAAGGACGTATTCATATATCCTACCTGTTCCCGATAGTGTTTGTTTGACGTATTTATAGGTCCCACTCGGTTAACAGGTTAAGAACCTCAGCTTTGCAAAAGATAGTGTCAGGAGAATTAAAATACAAGCCACAGACTGGAGAGATAGCTGCAAAAGATATAGCTGATGAAGGACTGTTATCTAAAATATAAACAAACTCAAAGTTCAACAACTTGATTAAAAATGAGCCAACAAACACCTCACAAAAGAAGATATACATATGCAAATACAAGTATGAAAAGATGCTCCACATATGTCATCACTATGTAATCTTTGATTTGCAAACTGAAACAACAATGAGATACCTACACACCTATTAGAATAGCCAAAATCTGGAGCACTAACAGCATGAAATGCAGATAAGGATGTGTCACAACAGGAACTCTTGTTCATTGCTGGTGGTACTGCAAAATGTGCAGCTACTTTGGGAGACAGCTTGGTAATTTCCTACAAAACTAAACATACTCTGATCTATAACCCCAAAATCATGCTCCTTTGCATTTACCCCAAAGAGTTGAAAATGTGTGTCTATACAAAACCCTGCACATAAATTTTTATAACATCTTTATTCATAATGATCAAAACTTGGAAGCAACCAAAGTGCCATTCAGTCTGTGAAGGAATAAACAAACTCTGGTACAACCAGACATCAAATATTACTCAGTCTTAAAAAGAAATGAGCTATCAAGCCATGAAAAGCTGTGTGTGTGTGTGTGTGTGTGTGTGTGTGCACGGGGGGAGGGGGGGTGTGAAGAGACTAAATGCGCATTACTAAGTTAAAGAAGCTAATCCAGAAAGATTACATAGTGTATGATTCCAACTATATGACATTCAAGAAAAGACAAAATATGGAGACAATAAAAAGATTAGCAGTTACTATGCTTGGGGTTGGGATAAGGGTAAATAGGCAGAGCACAGTGGACTTCAAGAGCAGTGAAAATAATCTGTATGATATAATGGTGACACATGTCATTATATATACATTTGTTCAAACCCATAGAATGTACAACACCAAGAGTGAACCCTAATGTAAACTATATCTTTGGGTGCTAATATGTCAATGTAGGTCCATCAGTTAAAACAAATGTACCACTCTGGTGAGGGATGTTAACAATAGGGGAAGTTATGCCTACGTGTGAGTATACACCGTGGAGTATATGAGAAATCTCTGTATCTCCCGCTCAATTTTGCTGTGAACCTAAAACTGCTCAAAAAAAAAAAAAAATGAAGTCCTTTAAACACACACACTCCCTCCAAACCAACACCATTGGCCTGGGTAATCATACAACCAGCTGGACTGTTTTGATTGAATTGACCTAACACTTAAGTTTATTTTTTAAAATGTATTAACTTTAATAAATAAACTAATCAGGAAGAAAGGAAAAGTTCAACTCTCTGTTTGCGTCAGTTGATTAGCTCTTGAACAGAATTGACGGGTTGCTTGAATTGTTTGACAAACCCCTTTGTGTGGTGAGGGTGCGAGTCTGTGTGTTTTCATAGAACTCCTGTCAGTGCAGTCCAAACTGTGTGTGGTGGGGACACAGCTTCCCAGTGTTCTGAGCGCTGATTCAAGTCAAGAGTTCTTTTACATCCCCGAGTTCCAGAGGTGCCATGTAAATATAAGTTACAATTTTACTTACATATTCACTTCATATTTTTCCCATCACTGGAGAACTTGAAGTGTTTTTGCAATTTGCAATACCATGAAGCCTTCAGCACGTAGGGCTTAAAACAAAACAGTTTATCTACAGCAGTGGTTCTTCAAGTGTTGTCCCGGTGAGCAATGTGGGCCTCTTCTGGGAGCTTGGTAGAAAAGCATATTCTCATCCCATTCCAGACCTATTAAGTTAGAAACGCTGAGGATGGGCCCAGAGATCTGTGTTTTGATAAACCACTCAGGGGATTCTCATGCTCACTGCAGATTGAGAACCGTAGCCCTAAAGGAAAAGAAAGAGGGGACACCACCAGATGCCTCAAATGAACCCCTGACTTCCAGTGAGTACAGTCTCCAGCATCCTCAGTTCTGGGTTCTACCATTTCAATTACATGTGGTAAACCACAGTCCAAAAATATTAATGGAAAATTCCAGGAATAAATAATTCATATGTTTTAAATTGCACACCATTCTGAGTAGCATGATAAAATATCTCCATTCCACACAGGATGTGAATTAGCCCTTTGTCCTGAGTATCCCACACTTGTGTACGCTTTCCGACTATCAGCCACTTGCTGTAGTAGTCGTCTCAGTCTTTGGACCAGCTATCAAAGAGAGAGCCCGCATTCACATAACAGTTATTACAGTATATTGTTATAATTGTTCCATTTTATTATTTGTTATTATTGCTACTCTCTTATGCTAATTTGTTTGTTTTTTTTTAAATATATATTTTTATTTCAGAGATGAAAGGAGAGGGAGAGAAAGAGATAGAAACATCAATGATGAGAGAATATTTGATAGGCAGCCTCCTGCACACCCCACACTGGGGATAGAACCAGTAACCTGTGCCCTGATGTGGAATCAAACCATAACCTCCTGGTTCATAGGTTGATTGATGCTCTACCACTGAGCTATGCCGGCTTGGCTTATTGTGCTAGTTCATAAATTAAACTTTATCCTAGATATGTGTATAGGAAAAATACATATTATATATTGGGTTCAGATTACCCTCAGTTTTAAGCATCCACTGGGGTCTTAGAATGTAGCCCCAAGGATAAATGGGGATGACTGTATGAAGAGATCCTAAGACCTTTCTATTGTGCTTTCATTAATACTATGTGCCCTAAATAAAGTTATTTTGTGAGTTTTTATTCCTTCTTTCAATCTTTGGCAGTTCAAGCACTGAGTTTAGGTCAGATAGAGCTGGCCAAATAGACAGTGGCAGATTGATAAGGATGGATCACATAGAGCAATTTAATTAAAACTAGCAAAATGCCCCAAACCTATATTGGTGAGTCCAATTAAACTAGTCGTCTTTACAAATAAATTGATCAACAATGCTGTGAGCTGCTTGTTAACTTGGGAATTAGCTATAACAACTCAAAGCACTTAAACCCACTGAATGTCAATTACTTTTTCATATAAAATTCTGCCAGATTAGCCTTATAAGATTGAGAAGGCTGTCTCAGCCAAAAAAGATATCCCTTAAGAAGAAAGGAGTGGCACATCCCTGTCAACCCCAACTGGCATCAGGGTGGGCTAACTAAGAAATACTGAAAGGGAAACTGAGGCAGAGCTTCCCAGGAGGGTACACACGAGTGACGAGCATTTCTCCTTATGCCCTAGCATGGAAGGTTCCATTGTGAATCTGCCCCAGATCGTAGCTCTAAAGAAGAAATACAAGGCTTACCTCTACATTGATGAAGCTCACAGTATTGGGTCTGTGGGCCCGACTGGCCGGGGAGTAGCGGAATTCTTTGGAATGGACCCTCAAGATGTCGATGTGCTTATGGGCACATTCACCAAAAGCTTTGGAGCCTCGGGAGGTTACATAGCTGGAAGGAAGGTAAGAGAGGGACTTCTTGTGTCCCTGTAAACCTTGAACAATTTGGGGACACTGTCTGAGGGCTTCTCTGGGTTCCCCACACCTCACTTGATCTCACGACAGGAGTTCCACAGCCAAGAAGCACCCAGAATGTCAAGGAGCTCACTCCCTGACAGTGCAGAGGAGCATGTGATGAGTAATCAGATTAGAATACAACAGCCACCCTATCAGTGTACACAGGCCAAGATAGTGCTAAGCAGAGGATGGTTAACTGCAAGGAAGAATTCTTAGAATGAATGTCTGTTTTGCAGACAAATGATGGGGGATTGTGTTTCTATATACCCAACCTCAGGAATGATAAGGGGGTGCTATAAAACTGTAAGTAGTGTGTTTTGGGGGCATGAAAATACATAGCAACCGTGGGCAAAGGTCAGATATTCAGAACCCTGTGCCACAGTGGTTTTAATCAAAATAGTCGCAAGATCAGAAACATGCTTTTTATGGGTTTTCTCTGCATAATAGCTATGTCTCGCAGTTTTGGAGAAGTGGTAATCAAATCTTGTCATTTTCTATTATCTATATACCTTAAAAATTCTGATCTGATGTGATTAGACTACATTCATTCTAGTGCCAGTGTCACCAAGAGGGTTGCCATTATAAACCAGTAAATGTTTAAATGAAATTTGAAAGAAGAGGGAAGCAGAAAAAGAAAGTGAGATATTCAAACCTGAGGTTGAGGGATAGAGGAGACAGTTTCCTGCTTCATTATTATGAGAGTTTTATACAAATCCTGATAGCTCTGTCATATAGGTCTATGCCTGCGCAGAAGAGACTGCATGGCAGTGGTGTTGGCTCTGCCCACGAGGGCACAGGGGGCCCCACACCAGTGCATACAAGTGACATCAACAACTTATCTAAAATTCCTAGTTCCTTGATCATTGTAATCAACAGGAACAAAGACTCCTGGTAAACCAATTAGACAAACAGGGAGGACAGCTGGAAACTGCGGTCATTGAACCCTGAGGTTTAAAACAACTGATTTCATTGCGGTCCTGCCATGAGCTGCACAAATGCTTCAGATGTTCAGTGTTTTCAGTGGTCTTCCCCCTTCACTAAGCACTACTTTCTTTCCAAGCTCAAAGCATTGTTTTCCATCCTGTGGGAATTAGCTGGGTGATGCTAGAAACCTAGGGTGTGCCCAGGAACCTAGCAAACTCAGCTACATCTGGAGCAGGGTGAAATGCTCCCTCCCTGGAGCGTGGAAGCAGTGGGACCAGAGGGTCTCGGATGCCCTAACTGCCTTCTCTGGCTCCAGGGCTTCGTGAGCCTGTGGTTTTGTGATTACTTTAGCAGCAGTTCTGAGCTACAGAAATTTTAACCATGCTTAACTCTTTTTTCTTGATCCAAAGGCACCTGAATAAACGGATGCTTAGTGTGTCCTTGAAATATTGTCAAATGTGTTAGATGTCACATTTCTCCCCTTAGAGTTCCTTTCTCTGATATAACGTTAAACAAATGCTTAGGATTATCCTGAAGTAAGGACCAGCTCACAGTTTTATTTCACACTCTCCATCCCGAAGTCAGTAGACTTATTTTAAGAGGTTTATTTGCTCTTGTCTATGTAGCTTCTCTTTATTTGGGGGTACATACTGAGCAATTGTGAAAACTATCATTTACTTAATCAGTACGCAGAAAATGTATGCCTATCTGTTCACTTTCTTGCTCTTTAGAATACTCATTCTGTGCATACTTAGGTCCAGAGGGCTGCATCATTCTTCCTCCTGTTCCTCCTCCTCTTCCCCTCCCTCTCTCTTCTCCTTCATGTTGCCCTGCAGGCTCTGAATTGACCACTAGATGGCAGCAAGAATTAGGGAGTGTTTGGCCGAGCTCCATTATAGCCTATGCATAGAGATCTTCTGCCCCAATCAATAAAGGCCAGTTTTCAAGACCTGAAGGGTGAGCAGGAGATAGAAGGCCACCTGAGAAAGTGTCTGATGATTTAAAAATCAATCAGGTACACACCTGTCTGGGATGGTTTTGGTGAGACTGGAATAAACCCAGATAAATTATGGTTTCCTTCCAGCCAAACGAGTTAATGGAACTTTTATATCTGCTTCTCTGTATCCTTTAAAAAAAAATTTAAAAAAAAATATATATATATTATTGATTTTTTACAGTGAGGGAGAGAGAGAGATAGAGAGTTAGAAACACTGATGAGAGAGAATCATTGATCAGTTGCCTCTTGCACACCCCTACTGGGGATGTGCCCGCAACCAAGGTATATGCCCTTGACCGGAATCGAACCTGGAATCTTCTAGTCGGCAGGCTGATGCTCTATCCACTGAGCCAAATAGGTTTCAGCTCTGTACCTTTTTTAAAGTTATGTTAATTTTAAATTATGTACAGTTTCGATTTAAATGAAATTTTTATTCCTCTGGACTTTTAATAAATTTGCGGCGAGTTTTTACTTGGTATTTGTTTTAAACTATGTTTTTTAACTAATTATTAGTTACTAATAGGACATAGAGTTGAGCAAATGCTAATGCTTTTGCTTGAGAAAAAAATCTTGCTACTTACTTATTTAAATAATTAAAGTACAGTTTTCAGAGATTCACCATATTACTTTTCATGGATAATTTTCAGTATATGTCTCAATTTGATGAGTATTTCAAAATAACCCAGGATTCTAAACCAATGGGTACAAAAACAACAACATTAACCATAAAAAGTGTTCACACTCACTTTTATGAGGACGTTACACTTGTATGAAACCTTGATAATTTCAAATTTACTATGTTCATATGGTTCTTAATAAAATCTTGTGATTTGAAAATAATTGTTTGGATTTAAAAATCTAGAAAAAGATTGAATGCCAATGTTAAGGTTAGTCAGAGAGGAATATTCATAACAGTTACTAGGAGACTAGAAATCTTGTAAAGTTTGTCAAGATGAGAACTATGTGCATTAGCAACCAGTTGCCTCACATAAGAAAAAAATATTTGGAAACAAAGGGAGTGGAAATGGTTTGCTCCTAAGATGGTACCTCAGAGAGTAGAGATCTTATCTTGGCTTCCGTCTTCCTGTCACAAAGTGTCCTACAAATTTATCTGTTTCCTGGAGTGCACTGCCCTGGTCTCAACCTTCTCTCCCGCTTCAGAGAAACTGCTGAAAAAAAAAAAAAAGGTCTTTTAAAGTTCAGCAAGATTTTGCAATTTTGCTCACTTTGAGTTGGGAGCTGCTCTAGATGATCTGTGAACAACTCAACTTGGAGGATTCTGTCCTTTTAAGACTTTTGAGGTGAAATGTCAGGTAATTGTCTTCACCTGTCAGAGCTCCATGCCTTGAACAGCTTCTTTAAAGAATGTCTGAGATGATGGGGCTAGGTTTCTTATTTTTTAATTTTTATTGATCCAGTTGCTGGGGAGATGGGTTGACACTGTAAATCCAGTTTGGGGGGTTCATGTTTTTCTCAGGCATGATCTTGAGTTCTCTTGCATGCCTGGTGCTGACCCCTATCTTTCATAGCCTCCGCAGACTGACCAGAGGCTTGCAAATGAATGAGGCAAAGGTAGCCTTCATGATTGATAGGTTGCAGGGCTGGAATTCTGGAGGAGGGCAGTGGGAACAGGCAGCCACGTATGGAGAGAGCATCAGCCCCAGAAGCCTGTGTGCCAGACGAAGGCAGGCCCCTTGCAGAAGCCAGCTCTGCCCTGTGTGCTCAGCCCTGGCTGCATTTAACAGCCCTTTGAAGTAAATGGGGGTCATGGAATGAACACCAAGATGTTTATTCTAAGAGTCTCCTGTCTGATTTTCTCAGAAAAGCCACCCTTGTCCTTGAACTCCAAGCCTATGGGTAGAGAAAATAATCAGGGTTTTGAACGTACAAATGGACATGGAAACTTCGGTCTAAGAAGACCTCTAACCCACCCTGAAAGAAGACACAACCCAGACCCGCCTTGCAAAAAAGACCAAAGCCAACTCTTAATTCATGGCTCGTGGCACCCAATGGGGGAATGCTAGGAGGGAATTTTTTTTTTAAAAAAAAAAAAAGAAAGAAAGAAAGAAATACAGAAAACAAGGCTTTCCTTGATGCTTTGCAGAAGTTACTCAAAAAACCTCACTTTCTAAACCACCTAAGCAAATTAGCCCCTGTCCATACACTCAGACTCTGATAGAAAGTGGACTCCATCTCAGAGAAAGAAGATTATGGGCAAGATAGGCTTAATGTTAAAATGATGTGATATTGCATTGAGGAGGCATTTATTCAAACAGAATGCATCTGATCTTATGACATTTCTCGATTTTCTAAGAAATGTTGAGGGTTGGGGACTTTGAGAAGAGCCCTTGAGGGATCAAAGGCACCTTTGTTTTGTTTCTTTGTCTGATCTTTGTCAGCAGTGCCCCAAGGCTAAGAGAGTATCACTATAGTTTTGTGCGTGTGTGTGTGTGTGTGTGTGTGTGTGTGTGTGTGTGTGTGTGTGTGTGTGTTTCTGTAGAATGCTGTTTAATTTCCCTGTATATCCTTCAGGGACCCTCACCTTCCTTCCTCAATCCTTAAAAGGCCCATGCTCTCCATTAGACCATCAGTATTTACCAGACCCCTGCTAAGTAGCCACCTCTATGGATTTTCAGAGAAGTGTATAACTCTGTTCCCTGCTCTCAAGGAGGTTTTAGTGTTTCTGGAGAAATAAGATTAATATATGTGAAACATTTGATACTGATGCAATTCAATCTAATGTTTGGCTCTAGAAACACTTGAATATATAAGGAATTATAACATCCTCTCCAAAAAAGAGGGAATATTCCTGTGGACTAGGAAAAAGGGAAAGTGAAGGTGATCTTCTCTGTGTCCTCCTGGTCCCTCCTCCCCACTCTGGAGAGGTAGTACAGTGTGGTGTTAGCTCTAGAGTCAGACACTTTGGGTCTAAAACCTTGCTATCCAACCACTCTTTGGTTGAATTCTTTTCTGATCCTTTCTATGACTCAGCAATCCCATTTGTAAAATGGAGATAAAAACAGTACCTATCTCATAGAGCTTTTATGAAGCTAAAGTGCGTTAACACATGTAAAGTTTGTAAAATGGAACCTCAGCCAGCCAATGAGTTTCATCTATGATTGTATCATAGCCCTCGAACATTACTCTCTGCAAAATAGGGGAGCTGGAATAAAAGGACTCCAAGGAGATTTTATATTTTGGTCCCCTCATCCCACCCCATGCTCCCATTTCTAAAAATCTCTAAATTGGCAATCTATTAATATCGATACTTGCTAACAGCAACAGGTATTCACTATGTATCAGATCTACTCTAAGCACCATATGTGTATTAACTCATTTAATCCTTATAATGACTCTGAAGTAAACATAACTATTTTCTCATTTTTCAGAGAAAGAAGTGAACGCACAGAGGGGTTTAGTAATTTGGCCACAAATCAGTAAGTGCCAGAGCTAGGGCTTGAACCTGAGCAATTAGATTCCAGAGCCTGTGCTGTAATTCCAAGGTCATATCTTCTCTCAAGGAGACAAACCCCCATCACCTTTTTTGGAAGCACTAGCTTCTCTCTCTCCTCCCAATCTACTCCTCCATTGTTTGCTGAATAAGATGCTTATATCCAAATCTACCCATCTTTCAAGACTGGACCACCTCCCTGAAACAGACCTTTCCTGACTCAGGTCCCTAGGAGTACCCATCATCCTGCCGCCTGCACCCTCCAAGGTCTCGGCATCAGCATCCGACATCCTGCTGGGTGGCATCAGCTCTCAACAGAAAAAGGAAATCCCAGTTGCTGCTCAAAAATAAGCACTGAGCACAGAGCTGGTGCATCTTCTCTGGGAAATGGTTCTCTCTCTCTCTCTCTCTCTCTCTCTCTCTCTCTCTTTCTCTCTCTCTCTCAATCTTGCCACCATCCTCCAAAATGAACTTCATAAATGCCTGTGGCCAGTGCCTTAGGTCAGGCCATCATCATGCACATAACTCTTCAAATAAGGTGAAAGTCAATCCAGCTGTTTTTATGAGATTCACTAAACAAAAGAATAGACAGAATCAAATTTTAATTTTAAGATAAGTGGATAATACCTACCAAGAACTAGTTTTTATACCTGTCTTCTCTTCTTGGACTCCCACATCCAGAATATAGCCCAGAGCAAAAAGGTAGGGGCAGAAGGAGGGAGAGAAAAGAGGAAAAAATGAAGGAAGGAGGGAGGAAACAAAGAGAGATTTAAAAAAATTTTAGTAAAGAATTTGAAATTAAAAGAAGAGGTCAGACTCAGAGTAGAAGGAAGGAGAAAGAGACCAAAAAAGGAATGGAAAAAAAAGTGTGAAATGGAGGAGAAGAGAGAGAGGAATTTGGGAAGAATGATGTATGAAGAGGGGACTTAGAATGAAGGGCATATGAAGGATGCAGGAAGGACAGAATGAAGTTCCCCTTCCCTGGGCTGGGTAGAGGCATCATATTACCATATTCAGCTATAAGGCAGGTCCCTCTCTTTCCTGAAGATGAGCTATGAATGTTTACAATGCTTGTGAACAACCAGACCCTAAGTGAGATAGAAAAGTGGAGGATGGTGCACACTTCAAGGTTCAAAGGTGGACATGGATGTGGCCAGTAAAGGGGAGGTTATGAAGAGATGAGCCTGCCAAAAGCACAGCTCCCCCCAGTTCACCTACATGAGGGAACAATTGATAAGACATCTCAGTGGGATTCTAAACTGTCGTGTTATCTTAGAAGAGAAGGTGGCTGATCCTTTACAGACCCCACTGCTAATACACAGAGCCGTCATCAGCCCATTAGCTTTTCTGCAGAACATCCTGAAGGTCCCAGGCAAGGAGCCAGTACAGGTGGGAAGATAGATGGTCTTCCCAGTTGGGACTGAACCAGCTCCAGATGCCAGCTCTGTGGCCCTCTTATGACGTGAGGAGCTTTTTCAGGCTCTCAGCAGACTTCCCTGGGACCTTAGGTTTGGCCTTAGGAGCCAATCATTCCTCCCACTGAGGATCAGCATTCTATAGTGAGTCAACACTCTAAATAGTGTTGCACTGAAGTTTCAGTCATTTCCTACCACCCGAGGCATAACCAGAGTTTATCTGGTTCTGATCTATACTGTGGTTTAATTTCACACTTCTCCCTTCTGCCACTCTATCCCCCATTCAAGTTTTCTTTTGTTCTATATTTGTCTTTTTTTTTTTTTCAAAACATAATTTCACCTTCTCGCTGGAACTTTCCCTACCTACTCCAGCTAGCAATAACTCCCTCTCTTTTCACTGCAGTCTATAGCTCGGTTGCATATATTAGTTTATTTCTTGTTACTTTTCCTACCATTACTTTTCTATAGGCACAATGTAATATAGAATGCACAATGGCAAAATCACATCCTGTATACTTTAGACACTCCTGAATACTAAGCCAGTGCTTGTACATATTAAATACTCAACAAATGTTTGGGAAATCATTTCTCTTACACATCTGGTTTAGCTTTAAAGACCTTAACTCCAAAGTTGTTGACTTTATTGTATACCTTCTAAGGTTTTGAGGGAGAAACTAAGAAGAGCTATAAAAAAAAGTTTGGTAATGCCTATTAAAAATCGGAGCACATTCAAGAATCAAATGTCTCATGCTATGATGAATGGGGTTGGGACAAGATGTGACTTTCATCACCAACACTGATACTTACTTGTTTTCTTTTTGAATTTACCTCCTTTATTAAAGGACCTTGTGGATTATTTACGGGTTCACTCACACAGTGCTGTTTATGCTACCTCCATGAGCCCCCCGATAGCAGAGCAAATCATCAGATCAATGAAATTCATCATGGGACTGGATGGGACCACACAAGGTAAGTGGGTCTGTGGTGAGCATGGCTCCCATGAAATCCTTTCTAGACTTCTCTTTGTGTCCTTTTGCACCATCAATTTTCCTCTCCTGTAATATATACCTTTGAGTTAATATAACTCAATTTATAAATCAAGCCATGTGTACATAAATAGTATTTGATACACATTATACATAATACACATAAGTACTAGAACTGCTGTAAGTGCACAAAAAAGGAATGCTTTTTAAAAGCAATTAAAACTTTCTCGTTTACTTCTTAATGTGATCAGCAAATTTGGATAATATTGTGTATTAGTTGTGTTTAAAATTAAGCAAATAATTTTTAACAAACAAACATGTGTTTGCCTGTGCTTTCTCAGGGCTGTTAATTAATATTCTTTTTTCTTTAATCTTTCTACCCATCTTCCTTTTGTTCTTTCTTTCTGCCTTTCTTTCATGGGAAAGGAAATGCAACATTTGGCCATGGACGAACCAGCACACAATGAAGACTTTCCAGTTATTTCTTTGAAATTGGGTCACCATAGCCAAAGTGTGTCACTTTGCTCAACCCAAATGAGCTTAATCTTCTTTTTGAAATATTGTTTCATCAAAAATTCTTAGAGATCTCTTTCTACCTTTCAGATATAATTTATAGATCTTTACTGCATATCATAGTGCAAATAATAGTGGTGAATTAGTCATTTCTTGCTGCCAGATATCTGGAAAATGCATTCATGGAAGTAGCAAATTACACGGGACCAGAACTGGCCACTGAGCTAAACATCCATGTTTCTTACCCCACTTCCCAGCTGATGTGCATTCCTATTATTTAGTTCAGCCTTACAAGCCTACTATTTCAGTGGAAGCCTACAGAACTTCATCATTCTTCAATTTTATCAAAGCAGCAGAATAGCCACATACAAATTTTACCTAGAAGCCTACTATATAAAATCAATTAGAACAGGCTTGGTCTGTTCTAATCTCCAAACTGGTGGCCTCTGAGACCTTTTAACTGAGTCCTAGTGATCCCCCAGGTCACTAGTTTGAAAACTCCCAAGATAGACTTTTTTCACAAAACCAGGAGAATGACTCTAAAAGTGATATTGTTCCTCCCCCATGTAAAAGACAGCTATTAATTGAGCTCTAGGATCCCTTTCAGTCTTGTCTTTTGGGTTTTATTACTCCATGTCTTATTGAGCAGTCTGAGTAAAAAGGAAATGAAAATCCATTCAAGGGAAGCCACATGGTGTGATGGTTAAAGGCAAAGCAACTCCTTGGCTTTGACACCTAGAATACTACTTACTCACTGTGTGGCCTTAGGCAAATGACTTAACTTTTCTGTTTAACCTTGAGCAAGTTACTTCTCTATGCTTCATTTCCTTTGGCTGTAAAAGAAGGGAAATATTATTGATGCGTAATGGTTTTTGTGAGATATGTAAAATACTTCAAATTATGTCTGAAAACAATCATATAGTAAGCATTATATATTATAATTGCTCGCTATGTTATTTGCTGTTATTCTTGAGGTGTTCAAGAATTCAGACCATATTTCAAGGGTCCTGGATTAGTCAGGCTAAGTTATGCTGCCATAGCAAGTAAGCCTTGAAATTCCCAGTTGTTTAACAAAACCAAAGTTTATTTCTTGTTTGTACCACATATATTACAAATCAGACAATTCTTTGCAAAGTTTGCCTCCATAAGGGCAGGGATTCACGCTGGTGATAGTTTGAGGCTTGGCTATCTCAGCATGTGGCCTCCTTGGGCACCATGGTGGAGAGAAAGAGGAAATCAGCCTGGAAGTGACACTAATCACTTTGCTTGCAGTCCTCTGGCCCAAACTAGTCGCATGGCCACTCACATTTGGTGAGCGTAGTATATTAAGGGATTTGAATATGACATGGATACACAGATATATTTCAGTCTTTTAAAACTGAAGCTAGAAGTACTGCTCCTCCATTCCCACATGAGTTCTCATCATGGGTACAAAACTGGCCTGGCACCACTGGTTTCTCATATGCTACTTAATGATCTTGAACTTCACCCACTTCTTCTTGGAAAACAATGATTTGAGATTTATGCTGATGAGCAAGTTAAGTGAATTGTCTTACAATGAACAGAATTATCCTTTGTCTTATTTTACAGGTGAATAACTAGAAAAAAAAATTATTCTCAAAATTTGCATATTTCTTAAGCCTTTTGTGTGTATGTTGTCATGTACCCAACTTGACAGTCATTTTCTTCTTTCCTCTGGATTGTTTTACCCCTTCGTCCCAAACAGAACTAGCTGTGTGTAGCTAATCATAGTTGAAGATCTGCAGAAAAATTACATTAAAGACATAACGATTTCTCCTTTGATAGTTGTCTATCAGCAGTTTTTACTCTTTTGCTGTGGGAGATAGTTCCCTTGTTTTCTTTTTATGTTTTTTGTTTGTTTGTTTGTTTGTTTGTTTGATTTTTCTCTTTCTTTGCCTTAAAATTATAATTATTTGGTTATTACTTTTAACCTCTCAATTCAAGTTCCTCACCTCACTCCTCTCACAAGAGAGAAATAAATAACAGAGACTTGTGTGAATTGCTAATTTTCTTAGAACTGAGACAGGAGAACCAAGGAGAAAGAGAGGACAGCTTCTTTTCAAAGGAATGAACAAAGGAAAGTAATAGGAAAGAAAATTGACAGTCATCAGCCGAGTTTCAGCTGGTTCTCCCTGACACGTCTTTTGAAGAATTCAAAGGCGCAGCTGAATGATCATGTTGGCCTCATTTACGACAATGCCTGCTTTAAATAAAATGAGCAGGACAGGTTGGGGATAGTGCGTTTAATTTGCCCCTTTCTGCTGAGACAGACAGACTCTCAGGGTAAAGTCGCCCAACGCTCAAAGGGAAGCACTATGTCACACCGGAACTGCCTTACAGGACAGGATCTAAGAAAGAGGGCTTGGCTCCAAGCCTTCATTGCCAGCCCACTCCCCTGCTCCTGTGATTGGAGCCTTTCAAGGCTTTGTTTCGGGTGGAGTTTGGGGGAGCCTTGGCCAGATCTCTTCCTTGATGAATGTCTTCACTTTAATCTGCAATGCAAAGCCATGCGCTTCAAAGAAAGGCGAGCTACAGGAATAAGGTCAGTATTCCTTTGAAGCCAAGGTTCAAAGATGAAATAGAAGTCCCAGTGAAATGACAGTGTTTATGCACAAACAGCCACCTCCGCCCTGCAGCCTGGCTGCTGGTGGAGTTAATGCACACAGGCTGGGGGGCTGCGGGCCTGTGGGCCTGTCGCTCGCATGCGTCCCACATGCACGGAGACCCGTTTCATCTCCTGGCCTGTCACTCCGTGCAGCACAAGGAGCCCAAAGTGAAGATCTGGTTTCTCCATCCTAATGGATGTTGGGTGGTCCACCAGCCAAACCAATGCTACAACTCTTTTGAGAGCTAGAAATGTGTCTTGAATTAATTCGGTGTTCCCCTGAGTGTCAAAGCCCGTGCTCAGCTTCATAAATATAATGTGACTCAACTTCCATCTCACCAGCTTACTCGGTTTTTAGTGCCAGTGTCTATGCTAAACAGGATCGAAGGGATGTTTACCTCAGAGGAGTGGGAGTTTGGAATCAGTTCTACATAAGCTGTGGCCACTGAGTTGGGGCCACAGTGATGGGGCACCTTCAATGCTTGGCATTACTTTTAAAGAGGTTGAGAAAGATTGCAGCTCATTCATTTTCTTTATCTAGACCAGTGTTTTCCCCCACTAGGATGTAAACTTCAGGAATAAAGGCATTTGTCTATTTTATTCATTATACTTAGAACAGTGCCATTGCAGGTACTCAAATATTTGTTGAAAGCTAGAATCATTCTGTATTTGCTTTTTAACTCAGCAAATAAACTGCCCTTATTTCCTTCACATCCCTGTGTTTGATTCTCTCCCTTTACACCTTCTAAAATCACTGGGCCCTCTTCTCAACCATGAACTTATTCATTTCCTTCAATCTAAAGAATCTTCCCATATTCCTTCTCCCTCTTCAAACAGCCACTGAGTTGCATTTCTTCCATTGCTGGATGTAAAGCTTGAAAATATGGCCTGTTCTGCCCTCTCTCCCCTCCTCCCTGCTCAGTGTTCAGCACCCTCACCCTGTCTTCTGCCCACTCCCAGGCCTGCTTCCGCAAATATCCTCCTAGCCCACCTACCCAACTGGCACTTCTCCAACCAGATTTGATGGACCCCTCTGCCTAGTTCTCTTTATTTGAAAACAGTCTTCTCTTCATTGTGGAAATTTTCTTTTCTTTTCTTTTCTTTTCTTTTCTTTTCTTTTCTTTTCTTTTCTTTTCTTTTCTTTTCTTTTCTTTTCATGTTCTGTCTGTTCCTCCCCCTCCTCCCTTTTTTTTGGTGGTGTGGGGGGTTAGGCCCCTTCCCTGTCTGCATTTGCCAGAAATGTCCTCTTTTGTTCTCTTTACATTTCCTTTGCACAACTATGCACCTCTTTTTATTTTTTTTATGTAGAAGCATGGTTCTCAAACTTGAGCATGTGTCAAAGCCATCTGGAGGGATGGTGAAAACCGATTGCTCACCCTGCCCCAATAGCCTCTGATTCAGAAATTCTTCTCGCAACTCTCATAAGCTCCCAGGTGGAGCTGGTCTTGCGGATCAGTAACCACCACTTTGATAACCACTGCCATATAATGACCTCATAATCAGTCATCCTGTCCCTCCATTAGGCACCAATGGATTGTATATTTCTCATTGCTAGAAACCATCATCATATCACCAGGGATTAACACAGTGCTTGATACATAATAGGCCTCCAGTACATATTTTCAAGTTGAGTTAAAAGGAAATATTCTTAGCTCCAATTGTGCATTGCCATGATTGGGTGCTAATAAAATATCTGTTAGGACCAGCTTTTCATCAAAAGACTGCAGCAGGATCTCTAAACACTTAATATTGGCCATCTCAGCAACTGGACTTCCTCACCAAGATCAGCTTTTCTTTGGACTTCTTGCCTATGTTCATGTCTAGTTTTGCTCCTGACATTTGCA